CAGAAATGCTCAGAAGTCGTCTTAAGTAGTACATGTCAAGACGAACTCAGAAGATGTCTTAAGTAGTGCGTCTGACGAAGTACTCTTAAGACTTTGAAAGTCGTACTTCTTAAGAAGTGCTATAACAAGTTCTGAAGCAACATGAATAAAAACTACCTGCGATTTCTGAGAGGTCCCTTGGGAAGACTTCTCCGGATTCTTTTCGGGGTCCTGACGGCTCCTTCAGGAACCGTGTACGGTTATCAAAGGAATCGCATGCGATTCACATAGGAATCGTGGACGAATCGCATGGGAACGTATACGGCTCACATAGGGGACGTGTACGATTCACATCGGTCTCGTATACGATTCGCGTGGGAAGCGTATTCGATTGACCTATAAATCGCTAACGATTCGCATCGGAGTCTCTTACGACCCACATAAGAATCGTATATGCTTCACGTAGGATGCGTATACTATTCGCATAGGAATCGAATCGTAGGCGATTCACACAGGAATCGGGTACGATACACGTGGAATCTGTATACGATTCACATGGATCTGCATACGATTCATACTGGAGACGTATACGATTCTAAGAATCGTATAGGGTTCACATAGCATGCGTGCACGTTTCACCGAGGAGTCGCATACGATTCACATGGGAGCCGTACACGACTCGCACAACTATCGTATACAATTCACATCGGGGTCATACTCGCTCCACACAGGAAACGTAGACGATTCACACAATAATAGCATGCAACCTAAATGGGAAGCACATGCGAATCACATGGGAACAGTCGGCGGGTCACATAATGCTATTAACATCGGCACCGTATACGATTCAGACAATAGTCGTATACGGTTCACCTAGGAACCGCATACGACCAACATAAGAATCGTATACGACCCACAGGAATCGCATACGCTTCACACAGGATTCGTATACGGTTCACATAGAAAGCGTGAGTCGTACGCAATTCGCACAGGAATAGTATACGATACACGCGGGATCTGTACACGATCCATGTGGGTCTACGATTCAAACTTGGAACCGTATACGATGCAAGTTGTTCTCGTATACGATTCACAAACCATTCGTGTATGTCTCTCGGAGGAGCTGTCTAAGAGTCACATTGGAAACGTATTCGATGTACATGCTAATCGGATAGGAATCACATCGGGTCCGAAAACGATTCACAAAACAAACGCATATGGTTCACATCGTTGGAATCGTACATCCACATAGGATGCGTATACGCTACACATATAAGCCGAAAGCGATTCACACGGGAACCGTATACGACTCACTTAGGATTCTTATGCGATTCACACGGGAATCTGTGCGATTCAAATAGGAATCGTGACCATACACATAAGAACTGGATCCAAATCGTGTACGATTCACGGAAGAATCGTATACTTTGGAGCCGTAAACGGTTCACCAAGGAATGGACTTAGGACTCACACAGGAGTCGTATACATTGGTCTCGTATACGACGTGCATAGGTTTCGTATACGAGTCACACAGAATTCCTCTGGAATCGCTGAACAAGGACCGATCCCGGCGATGGAAGATGGAACGTGCGAATGTGTATTTCTGGAGTGTCTGCAATCTGCAATTGCTGTACAATTGATTTGTAAGAGCAGCCAGGATTGGCCCGAGTCTGAACAACCCGCAGCCGGGATTGGCCCAAGGCGGCCAGGATTGGTACCATTTCGCTGGGATTGGTCCCTGTACCGGTTTGAACACCCCCCTGCCAGCAGCAGCAGAATCTGCTTTTCCAGACGGCCCAAGAGGCCTCCAAGACGGCACCAAGAGGGTGCCCAGACGGGTGGCCCGAACGAACATTTCGAGCCTTGGGCCCAAGGAAGCCTCCAGGAGGCCCCAAGAGGCGCCCAGGAGGCACCAAGAGGCCCCAAAGAGGCCCCAAGAGGCCCAAAAGCAGCCCCAAGAGGCCCCAAAACGGCTTCAAAACTACCTGCAAGAGGCTCCCGAGAGGCCTCGCACGAGATTCCGATAAACATCCATGAAGCCTCATACCAACAATCCATGCACGGTAACAGGATGAGCCGAAGGCCGTGCGATATGTTGGAATGGCTGCCAACACGACTTTCGGATCACATAACATCTAGATGATACCGCGGGACTATCAAGTTGGAGTTGAAAGCGACATGTAATAACAAGAGCTAGTTGCGCAACTGCTGCGCGCGACCCGTTCGGCGGCTTCAAGCACGCACAGGCAGATGAGCGACGACACACGGTGGGCTCGCCACGAGTGGGCGACGAGAGAGGGGAGTTAGATCGAGCTCGTTCTAAGCGAGCAGATGGTGTTGCCAACTCTCAGACACGCTACCGTCTGGGACGACATCTGCTTCGCATCGGATCTCGCCGGTGCCCGTGCGCGGAGTGGCGGGCCGATGCTGCCAGACGCCCGGGGGAGAAAGATCGAACAGTGCATGCCGCGAGGAGGGTGGACGTGCACAAGCGGAAGAGGCCCGTGCTCCAACAGCCCAGGTTTCGCAGGCAAAGGAATACTGCAAGCCCGTGCCACGCGTGACAGGCGCAACGGGTTCAGACGCCACTCGCCATCGCTCGGACGTCCATTCCTCGTGTATTTTTCGAGTTCGTGCGTGTTTTTTTCGCCAAATGATCAAGGATGGTCCTCGATGGCCGTCGCCGAGAAAAAAATGCACACGTCCGAGCGATGCCAAGGCCACGCGGATCGTCCGACCTTGCACGGTCGCGGCCCTGCGATCGCGCAGGCTCGCGTTACATCGGCCGCATCTGGGCCACCGGCGGCGCTCCGCCCTGGAACACCTGCGGCGGGCTTGCCGCCGCGTCGGCACACGGCGCGAATCCAGCGCAGTCATCTGGATCTCTCGGGGAGGCAGTCGAGGTGGATTGGAGAGGACGCGCGCGAGGACGGAAGGCCCTTCCGAGGGGCGCGTTGCCTCGGGAATGTAGAAGGCCGGAGCACAGGACACAAGGGTACCCTTGACTTGGCAGCGTCGACCTGCTAATCAGCCTCGCCTGTAAGTAAACGATCGCTCGGGCTGCCGTCCAGACCCGCGCTGAAGAGACACGCCCTTCTGAAGGGCAGACACCATGGGAGGGCAGGCAGGGCTCCACAGTCCAGCCGAGGTGCGCCAACGGAGCCAGGCGCCAAGACAAACCCGCAACGACCAACCGACGCACATTACGGTGAGGGCATTGCATACGGAACCCTGAGATAAGGAATCCAGGGTCTTGAAGCCAGTGATACTCCAATCGTGGATCGGCCATGGATAACCCTACCGCCCTCATCAGATGAGGAATACCCCAGGGTCTGAAGCCTCCTGGGCCCATTCCTGAACGAATGCCCTCACCGTATCAGGAGTGTTTTTCTCCCATGTGCGATTGTATAAGAAACGATGATACCAGACAAGTGTCGTAAGAGGACAGGTGGAGACGCACGACGCGGGGTGATGCACCTTGCGGGAACCGGTGGGCGGCGAGCCGAAGAGTCAGTGGAAATCGCGCCGCTTTCGCTGAGAGGACAGACTGTCCTGGAAGCGCGCCACCCAACTCAGGGTCCAGGACAGCCGGAGACAAAACACGGCGTCCTTGGCACGTGCGCGGGCAAACGACCTCGGACACCTTCCATACATTGCTTCGGCCGAGAGAGAGAGAGAGAGAGCGAGAGAGAGAGAGCGAGAGAGCGAGAGAGAGAAAGGACACCTTCTCCATCGGCCCCCGCGCCGCGGCACGACCTCCCGCTGCCCCCCGCGGTCCGCACCACGCGGGGGGATCCGCAGTCCGCAAGAGGCTCCCCCCTTCCGCCTCGACGGCCTCCTGTGCCCTTCGGCGCTCCCTTCCCTCCCTCCCTCCCTCCTGCTCTTCATCCCTCGAAGAATCGAAAACGCAAACGGCATACACATACACTTTTGGCGGTCCGCGGATTTCCTGGATCTGCGCTGGGCCCCCTCCCAGCGCGCGGAGCGCGCCAAAGGCGGCGCCTGAGACGCCGCCCCTGGCGCTCCAGCGCAGATCCCAGAAATACGCGCGGAGCGGCATAAGTTTATGTCTACGCCGTTGCTTCTTCTTCGATTCCCTCCCTCCCTCCATCCTTCTCTCCATCCCTTCCTCCCGCCCTCGGAGCAGGACGGTTTGAGATACGGGTAGTTTAAAATCGGTCCCCGGACCCCTCCAGGGTCGAAACGCACCAGCTCTCCGCGCTGCGTCCAGCCGTGGCGACGAGGGGTACCCCCCGATGGCCAACTACCAGTGTCTCAAACGGCCCTCCTGTGACGCCCGTCTTCCTGCTCGCCCAGCAGAGTGTCACCTCGAGCACAGAACAACGACCCACGCACGAGAGCTTTCGGGGGCGGCCACGAGGGGGGCGTCCAAGCGGGGCGGGCGCAAATCATGGCCAGCGGCATGCGCGCGCGGCCCAGGGGGGGGAGCCAGGGACGCCATGAAATGAGAAGAGGCGCCATGAGATCTGAGGCAATATCATGGCCCACATGATCTTCACCCCCACCCCCACCGGCATCACCCCACTCTCGGCCGCCCCCGAGAGCTTGCGCAGCTCCGCACGGCTTCCGGGGGCCTGGGCCGGGCCTCCTGCCCCCGGCGTCGCTTCCGGCGCGCCAGGGGGCGGCGCCGGAAGCGCCGCCAGGGGGGGGGGGTCCATCGCCCAGGGCTCGAGCTGCACGGTGCTTTCGCTTTCGTTTTAGTTCTCGTTGTCCTTCGTTCTGTCTTCGTGCTGCCTTTGCTGCTAAGCGAAACCAAGACGAAAGCGGTCCAAGAGATCACCCAAGCACCGTTTAGCTCGAGCCCTGCCATCGACAACCCAATGAATCTGCGCGGGCCTCCCAAAGTGTATGTTCGTAGTGCGTGTTGCTTCTTCTTCTTGCTCACGCACCCAACCCCGATTCCACCCCCGCTCCTATTCTTTCCCCTCCGCCTTCCCTCTCCCCCATGCACTCTGAGCGCGGGAGGCGGCATGCGGGGGGAGCAGCAGGCGGTGGCGCGCCTGACGCGCACAACCTCTCCACCAACTCGGCCTTGTTCCCAGACACAGGCAGCCCCTGCTGGGCGTGACCCCGTTGAATATGCGGCAGACGACGACGAAGGAAAACTAGGAGAGGAGGAAGACTACCCCAGCACGGTACACCAATAGCTGGGTGCTAATGCTATATAGTGTCTGTGGCCCTGGCAAGCCCCAGTGATTCGGGTGCACTCTGGGCGGAGATTGCAGGCATGGCCTGTGAGACCTCGAATGATGAGATTCCCACGCCTCTGCTACACTTTTTCAGGCCCTGGGGGGCTGATAATCCGACGGCCCTGTCTCACTCTCTGGACCTCGGAGACCTGGAACGGTGAGAATCCGATGCCCCTTCCTGCCGCAATGCCTTGACCTCGGAGACCTGGAACGGTCAGAATCCTGAGACTGGCGAGCAACAACATGTGAACACCATGTGTGATCAATTGCGTGTTTGCTTGAAATTTCCTCGAGATGCGACGCCAAAACAAATAGACATTCACAACATTTGCAATCGTAAGCGAGCAGTTAGTTCACGGGCGCCGTGCGTCGCAAAATCCAACCCGCCCCTCGACATTCCCCCCCCTCCTCCAAAACCAAGACCCCCCTTCCTGCGAGAACCTCCCCCCTTACCCCCCCCCACCCGCGACGAACACGACGACGGCCCGAAAGGGCGGGTCGGATGGGACGGTCCCAGGTAAGACATATTTGTCATCGTCGTCAGCGTCGCCGTCGTCAGTGCCAGCGTCGTCGTCATTGTCGTCTTTATCGTCGTCGTCGTCATCATCATCATCACCACCACCACCACCATCATCATCACCATCATCAACATCAGCATCATCACCACCACCACCACCATCATCATCCTCCTCATCCTCCTCATCCTCCTTATCCTTCTCATCCTCCACATCCTCCTCATCATCATCACCACCATCATCACCATCACCATCACCATCATCACCGGCATCATCATCACCATGGCCATCATCATCGTCATCGTCGTCATCCTCATCCTCATCCGCATCATCATCATCCTCAACATCATCATCCTCATCCTCATCCTCATCATACTAATCATACTAATCATGTTAATCATAATAATCATCATCATCAGCAGCATCAGCATCAGCATCAGCATCAGCATCATAATCATCATCACCATCACCATCGTCATCATCATCAGCACCAGCACCAGCACCAGCATCATCATCATCATCATCATCATCATCACCATCACCATCACCATCACCATCACCATCGTCATCATCATCATCATCATCATCATCATCATCATCATCATCATCATCATCATCATCATCATCATCATCATCATCATCTCCATCATCATCATCACCATCACCATCATCATCATCGTCGTCGTCATCGTCGTACCCGTCGTCGTCATCGTCATCGTTGTCGTTGTCGTATTTGTCGTCGTCGCCAACGTCGTCGCCGTTGCCGTCGTGGATAACGGTTAGGACGAACCCCAAAAAGACGCAGAAGACGCTTTCTCAAACATCACCTGGACGTGCCAAAACTGTTTGAAACAAGTTGCTCTGGCCGTGGAGAGCCAGAGCCGCAGGAGAAAGGCTACCCTTTTACATCGCGACGGTGCCAGGGAGCACTGCACACGCCATTAGAGAAGCATTGGCGTGAACTTTCGCAAGTCTGCGTGGATTCTTGAATCGGCGCTAAGCCCCCCCTCCCCTGGGGCGCGGAGTGCGCCAGCTCGGCGCCTCGGCGCCGCCAGGGGGTTCCAGCGCCGATCCAAGAAATCCGCGCCTCCGCGCGGACCTCCGAAAGTCTGTGCTCATGCCTTGTTCTCCTGCTCGAACAGGCTGCCCGTGCGGCAGGCCGCGACACACCTTGCGACAGGAGCTCCCCCATACTCGCCATCGCTCGGACGTCCATTCCCTGTGTTTTTTTCGGTTTCGTGCGTGGTTTTTTCGCCAAATGATGGAGGAAGCTCCTCGATGGTCCTCGCCGAAGAAAAAATGCACGCGTCCGAGCGATGCCAAGGACACACCTTGCGACGGAAGCTGCCCCACACGTGCACGACGTGCGCTCGGCCGCGCGGGAGCCCGCCCGCCCTCGGCGCGACCACGTGCGCGGCTGGCCGCGACGCCCAGTGTTGTGGGGCTTCCTGCGTCAGCCCTCCGAGAGCCCCATGGCGGCAGGAGGAGGAGGAGGAGGAGGAGGAGGAGGAGGAGGACCCAGGACACCCTCCGAAGCATTCCAAATCGTGACCCGGTCGTTCAGGGAGACCGCGATTGGAGGCAGCATGACCCGAGGAAGCCCCCAGGGGCCCCCAGAATACGCCCAGGAGGCCTCCAGGAGGCCTTGAGACAGCCTGAAGCAGCTCTTGTGAGGCCCCCAGAGGCTCTCCAAGGAGGAGCCTCCGCAGAAAAGAGCTGAGGAGGATGGGGAGAATGCACAGGGTATGGCGAACATGAGGAAAAAGAAGCATGGAGGAAGGATAATGCATAACATGATTATAGCGGCGATGCCGGAAAAGGCAACAAGGAATTATCGCTAAATTGTCGGCTTGACCTTCCTGCTATTCCGCCTGCATACAATTTTTCAAGGACCAAGGTGCATGGCGCGAAGCGCCACTGCAGTCTTGTATGTATATAATTATATATATAGATATACAGATATATGCGTAACCCCCTCATCCTCCCCTGTCGCATATCCCCCCCTTCCAGTGCCCCCCCCTCCCAGAAATAACACTCGATTATCAGCATCTCCACTTCTCTCTTCTCCCACATCTCGCAATCCCCTCCCCCCCGCCTCCCCACTCCCTCACAACTCGGGCTGCCCCATGTCCGCAGGCCGCCTCTCGCGGACCCCGAAGCTGTCCCAGCCCGCCTACACCCCTTCGTGACGGGGCGGCTGCGGGCGCGCTCCTTCTCTCTGAGCCTGTCCTTGAGGGCGACGACGGTCAGCTCTGCCAGGTCCTCCTCCCGGTGGGGGCGTCCGCAATCCCCGAACTATCTGTCCTGGCTGGGCCGATCCTGGGCCCAGGCTCGGTGCACGTGCCTCCCTGGCCAAGCAAGGGGGATGATGATGATGATGATGATGATGATGATGATGATGATGATGATGATGATGATGATGATGACGACGAGGAGGATGAGGAGGAGGGGGAGGAGGAGGATGAGGGGGAGGAGGAGGATCAGGAGGAGGAGGAGGAGGAAAAGGAGGAGGAGGAGGAGGAGCAGCAGCAGGAGGAGAAGGAGGCGAGGATCGGTGAGGCGGATAGCTGGCGTCCCCCGGGCCTTCGTCTCGAGGGGCTTCCCCCCGTGGCTGCTCCGCCTCCGGGCCTCGGGGTCGGCGGCGGCGGCGGCAGCTTGCAGTGCGCGAGGGGGGGAGGAGGAGGAAAGGAGGAGGAGGAGGAGGAGGAGGAGGAGAAGGTAGGAGGAGGAGGAGAGGAAAGGAGGAGGAGGAGATGAGGAGGAGGAGAGGAGGAGGAGGAGGAAAGGAGGAGGATGAGGAAAGGCGGATGAGGAGGAGGAAAGGAGGAGGAGGAGAAGGAAGGCGGAGGAGGAGGAGGAGGAGGAGAAGGAGGAGGAGGAGGAGGAGGAGGAGTAAAGGAGGAGGAGGGGACGAGGATGAGGAGAGGAGGAGGAGGAGGAGAGGAATCAGGAGGAGGAGGAGGAAGGAGGAGAGGAGCGGGGGGGGGAGGCGGGGGGGGAGGAGGAGGGAGGAGAGGAGGAGGAGGAGGAGGAGGAGGAGGAGGGGAGGAGGAAGAGGAGGGGAGGAGAGGATGAGGAGGGGAGGAGGAGGAGGGAAAAGGAGGAGCGGAAGAGGAAGAGGAAGAGAGGAGGGAGGAGGAGGAGGAGGAGGTAGGAGGAGGAGAAAGGAGGAGGAGGAGGAAAGGAGGAAGGAGGAGGAGGAGGAGGAAGGAGGAGGAAAGGAGGATAGGAGGAGAGGATGAGGGAGGAGGATGAAGAGGAGGAGGGAGGAGGATGAGGAGAGGAGAGGAGAGGAGTAGGATGGAGAGGAGGAAGAAGAGGGGGAGGAGGAGGAGGAGAGGAGGAGGAGTAGGAGGCGGGGGGGGGGAGGGAGGAAGGAGGAGTAGGAGGAGGAGGAGGAGGAGGAGGAGGAAAGGAGGATGAGGAAAGGAGGGGATGAGTGAGAGATGCGGCCAGAGGGAAGGAAGGATGAGGGGCGGAGGAGGAAGAAGAGGAGGAGGAGGAGGAGGAGGAGGAGGAGGAAGGGGGAGAGGAGGAGGAGGAGGAGGAGGAGGAGGAGGAGGAGCGGGGGGGGGAGGGGAGGAGGAGGAGGAGGGGAGGAGGAGGAGGAGAGGAGGAGGAGGAGGAGGAGGAGGAGAGGAGAGGAGGAGGAGGAGGAAAGGAAGCGGGCGGGGAGGAGGAGGAGGAAGTAGTAGGAGGAGGAGGAGGAGGAGGAGGAGGAAAGGAGGAGGACGAGGAGGAGGAGGAGGAGGAGGAGGAGGATGAGGATGAGGAGGAGGGGGAGGAAGAGCCCCTCCATCATGGGGGCCGCCGCCCCGGGCGGCCCGTGCTGCTCGGCGGCGGCGACGGAGGGAGGAGCGGAGAGGCGAGCAGAGGTGCCGCTGCAGCTTCCGGTCCACGACGGCCTCAGGGCACCGAAAGCCGAGAGGGCCTGCGGACGGCCGCCGACTGCCCCGACGTCGACTCGGGACAGCACGGTGGCACGAGAGGTCCCAACAGGGCCCCAGCACGACACAGGAGGGCATCCAAGGCGGCCCACAAGCCTCAGAGCATGAGACATGCACCAAGAAGGCGACAAGACGGCCCTCGAAACCCCCATGATAATCTCTGGACAGCTTAAGAGGGCCCCATGACAGCCCCCAAACGCGCCGACCGCCACTGAACACCTTGACCCTCCCCCTCTCTCGTCCTCCCTCCCTCTCCCTCTCCCTTCCTCTCCCTCTCCCTGTCCCTCTTCTTGCTGATGTGCTATGTCTGTATATTTGTGTATATATATATATATATATATATATATGTTGTTGCTCGTCTCTCTCTTTCTCTTCCCCACGCTGACTCCTGTCTTTTCTCCTCGTCCCCATCATCCCTTGTACGTTTTTCTGGTCCTCCTCGTCGTCCTCTTCGACATGAGGTGCTGTCAGCAACACGCCGACATGGCCGGCGTTTGCTGCAACAAAACCCATAATCGAAGAGCCGTCCTGGGGTTTATGAACCCAGCTGGAAGCGGCCACGGATGAACAGGGTGAGGATTAGCAGGGGGAGAAGAAGAGGAGGAGGAGGAGGAGGAGGAGGAGGAGGAGGAGGAGGAGGAGGAGGAGAAGGAGGAGGAGGGAAAAGTGAGAGAGAAAAAAAGGCAGGAGGGAAAGAGAAAAGGAGGAGGATGACTGCTCAGGACTGCTTATTGCGCACCGGGGTGCGAAAGGGCGTGCGAACAGAAAGCCCAGTACTTAGCACAGAGCTCGAAGCAAGTGGCGGAGCGTGCGCAGCTTGCTTTTCTACGACTTTGCCGCGGGAAATTGCACGGACATATGGAGGGCAACCGTCTCTCCCGGAAAGATTGCGGGTGTAGAAGCCTTCGTCGATCTTGGCACGGTTGTCAGTGCCCTTGCGCGTGGGGCCTGCGCAAGGTGGACTGGGTCCTGCGTCGGTGTCTTGCCACAAAGCGCGACAGCAATTCAGGCATAACATAAACACACACACAAAACATTAACTGTCGGCGTTCCGCGCAGATTTCTGGGATCCGCGCTGTGGCCCCCTCCGTGGCGCGCGGAACAGGCCAGGGGCGGTGCCAGAGGCGCGGCCAGGGGGCTCCCAGCGCGGATCCAGGAAATCCGCGCGGAACGCCAAACATTTATGTTTATGTGCTTATTTTAGTCCTCGAACATAAGAATGACATATTGAGATTCCGGGTCGCGTGGAACTCGCGACCGCACGCGCAGACGGGGCCAGTGGCTGGCTCCATCACCTCACTGGCCGTTGGCCCTGATGGCCTGGATACGCACTGGGTGGCACAATCTGCGCGGACGTGCTAGGAGGAGGAGGAAGAGGAAAAGGAGGAGGAGGAGGAGGAGGAGGAGCAGCAGCAGCAGGAGGAGGAGGAGGAGGAGGAGGAGGAGGAGAAGGAGAGGGAGGACTTGAGGTAACATGACCATGGGGCACCTTAGCCCCGTCACTGGGCCCAGTCTCCTGGTGTCACCACCCTGCAGGGCACGGTGGCCCCAATGCATGCCAACTCATGTCATATCATGACGAAGCATGCGCAACCATGCTGAAGCATGCCAACGCACGCCAACGCATATCAATGCATGCCAATGCGTACCAAAGCATGCAACATCATGCCAAAGCATGCCAAAGCGTACCAACGCATATCAAATTATGGATGATCAAACACACATGCCACAACATACCAACGCATGCCAGAGCATGCCGGTGCAACGCGCGCCAAAACATGCCATAGCATGCCACAGCATGCTTAAGCATGCCAAGGCCTGCCATCACATGCCAATGCGTGTCCACGCGTGCCAAAGCATGCCAATGCACACCAAAAGCATGCCGATGTATGTCCATGCAGGCCTATGGGTGCCGAAACAAGCCAACGCATGCCAATGCACCCCATTGCATGATACGCGTATCAGTGCATGCCAATGCATACCAAAGCGCGCGTGAACATGCCATATCACGACAACAAATGCCAACGCGCGCCAAGGCATGCTAATGCATGCACAATCATGGCAAAGCAAGCGCGATCATGCCAAATCATGCCACTGCATGCCAATGTCAGCCAAAGCATGACATGCTAAGTCATGCGCAAACATGCCAACTAATGCCAATGCGTACCTATGGAGCAAAACAGTACAACTTGCTCGTGTATTCAAGGGGATACAGCTTGTTCGGTAATCCGAAAGGGCGAAGCTTGTTCGGGGACTCAAGGGGGCACGACAGCGGGGTAAGTAGGACGCGCCAGACAACTCTCTCCCCTCTAACCATGTCCCGCCCGGCTCTCATTGCATCCGTGGTCGTGCTGACGCGTTGAAATAGGCGACGGGGAGGGATCGGGCTATCCGAAACTCAACTGCGCGAGTGCTGTCAGGCATCGTCAGCCCGGAAAAAATGACGAAGCGGCATGGCAATATGGGCCCTGGATGGGGGCGACAGATACTCTTTGCTTGGAGATAAACCAAAGACTCAGAGCAAGGCGGAGACGGGAGAAACTCTCCCAGGTACGTCGCAGAACCAACCTGCGAGCTCGGGCGCCGCCCGCGAGCGAATGGCCCGGGGGCGATGCGCTCCGCTGGGCGCGAAAGATTCCAGGCAATCCTGCCGAGCCTCCCGGGCGCCCCCGTTCCCGAGTGAGCTCCGCAACAGCTGCGTCGTGATTCCTAAAGCGCAGATGGAAAGGATGCCGAGACCAGCGAGCGCGCTGTCTGGGATCCAGGAGGCCCCCGCGAGGCCCGGGGCTACTCGCAGCTGGGCCCAGAGGGCGCGCCCCTGCAGCACGTCGGGCGCCGCGTAGCGAGCAGGGGAGGGAACGAGCGAGACGAGGTGGGAGTTCCAGGCCAGTGCGGTGCGAGAGGGGGACATCCCCGCAAGGTGGAGGGCCCCGGCACGGTCGCGAATCCTAGGGAGAGGCTTGCCCCACGTGCCGGCGACGAGCGCGTCTACCTGCCCGCGCGCGAGCTGCCCCCCCGGGGGAAGCGCGTCGCCCTCGGCGGCTCTGGAGACAGCGCTGGCGCCGAGGTGCGGCCGCTGAGGGGCGACGGCGGAGGAGCCGAAGGGGGTGTAGTCCATGAGCCACCTCCACCACTCGTGGTTGCTCGCTGGCACCAGGGCGGTCTTAAAATTGCAGGCGCAGGGCGCGCGCCAGGGGCGGCGGGCTTCGGCTGCGGCGGGGCCGAGGGCGCCGTGGATTAATGCCTGGATGAGGGCAGGGGGCAATCCCTTGATGCGCAGGTCGCTTCCCTATCTTTCCAGGGTGGCGGGTGCCTCCGTCAGGGCGGACGTCGCTCGGCGGTCGAAGGCCATGAGCACTCCCCTGAACTTGTGGGTCTCAACCAGGAGGCCAGCCACGTTGGCTAGCCGCGGGAGGGCGATGGCCGCGCGGAGCGCCTGGCCCGTTGGGGCGGGGAGGGCGGCGGGGTCGCCCGCGTGGGCGGGGCTGGCATTAGCCGTGATGTCCGCCACGGCGTCTATGAATGGGTCGTAGCCCACGCACCATAGAAGCGGCGAGGCGGCGCCGCCCATGCCGATGGAGCGAAGTAGTCTTCGCACTCTGATTTCATGTTTGCCCTTGCAGGTCTGGACGCAGCGCTCGCTGAGCAGGGGGTCCTGGGCGCGTGGGGGCCAGGGCGGTT